TATATATATATGTGTGTATATATATATATGTATGTGTATGTATGTATGTATGTATATATATATATATGTATATGTGTGTGCTTGGCAATTACACATAATTTAGTTAAATTGCAATACTATTTTGCATTGCAGTACTACACATGCTTATTGTTTGTGAGAATATGTTTTGCAGTACATCTATAACATTTTTTCTTGCATTACAGTATTGGGAGGTGAAACTGATTGTCATGAAAATCAAGTCACTACAAAAAAAATAAGCTTCTATTTTTATTATTAGTATTTTATTTGTATTATTATTTTACGTTCCTTTTTGGAGTGAAATATGACCAGGCATGTTCTTGATGGGCTTCATGAGATGCACCAATAATTAAAATAATTTCATTTTATTTTTACACTGGATAATTTACCTGTGGAGCTGTTAATGACAAACATATTAAAACAGCATGTCATTTTTAAAATGTAAGCTTTTATTAATCAAAGGGAAAAATGGTAATTTTACATGCATGTAAAATAAACAATAATAAAAAAAAAAATTAAACAAATGCACCTTCCAGGAATACACGATTAAAACACAATCTGCAGGGAGAGAAGCAGTTAGAGCCAGAGAATGAGCGACAGGCCGGTAAGGAGCTATTTAATCAGGTTAGTTACTTTAACTACCAGATCTTATTGAATCACTACGCTTACCGTTTGGTTTAGGGCCCCGTTTTAGTACTCAAGCTTCCATGTTCCTAACAGTTACTGCTGAACCTTTAATACAATGCACATAATTTGTTCAATCGCGGTGTCTTACACGGTACAGGCTTATTCAGGTGAATCTGGTGCTGAACCATATTCCTCGCAGATTTCATAGGTGTTTTCCTTCGGATTCCCAAATCCGATGTTGTCGTGGTGCTCTTCGCAACCTGGAAAGCCAGCGCACGCTTGTACATACAAACACACTGATTAAAAAATGTACACACACTGGGGAAAATGCAAGATCACAAAACGACAAAAAACTACTGGGCAACTTCAACTCATCCTTTTGTTTCTCTTTTATTCCTTTGTGTATGTTTTTTCTCTGTACTGTGAATGGTAGTCTCTCTCGGACTGTATAATTGTGTATATAATTTGGGTTATTTATCATTTTAATGTTCTGCCTTTTTGTTATTTCTTTTGGTTTGTTATTGCTCTTATTTTGTATTGCAGCAGAGCACAACATGTGGAAAGTGTATGTACTTGACTCGCAGTCTAAAACAAATGGTGCTACAATCTGTACAACTTTAGACTGTGCTTATTTATATTAAGATCATCAACAACAACAACAAAAAAAGAAATGAATAAAGATTTTTTGGTGCTTCTTTTACACAGGGATGTTTTCAAGTCTTGCGGCATTTATTTTTTGAATATTTATAATGTATTATTTGGCGCCCAGCATGAAGCAGCCCCTGCCTGTTTGGATCAGTGCCGTTTTTATCTAGAAGAAACACCTTTTGGTCTTAATCGAACTTAAAGCAGCATGAAAGTACATTGCAGAACTTTATAGGATGATATAACTTTTTCTTTTGAAGTATTTACTTCAGTGGTGCTCCGAAATCGACCTGTGAGACAGGTAGTGAATGCTTTGAATTACACGCACGGCACACTGTTGAAACTGGTGTCATGTGGCGTTTCGTAACAGTTTTGATTTCTCGTAAGGAGAACATGTGCTAAGCCTGTTTGCCTACCGTCTTGGGCCCGTACGGCTCGGTGCTGTTTCTTAAAATCGTTGTTTTCTTCGCAAGTGTAAAGCAAACAGCTTCATCTTACACAAACTGGTGCTGCTGTTCACACAGATGTCGAAAATACCAGAGCGCCCGTACCAAAACCTACAATCCACTATCAAAGCCTGTCCTAGAGTGCGTCGTGTAACCTAGAGTTTGAGCCTATTGCGTATCGTGATGTGAAGTTGTTCTGATGTGACCGGTCGTAGATTTGGCTAGTGTGTTGTCAGTTGGCTAGTACTAGTGGTTGACCGATATGGGTTTTCCAATGACTGTTATCATATCTAGAGAATAGGCTAATGTAATGACGTATATGAAAAATCTGGACAATAAAATGGGTAGTTCACCAAAAAAAAAAAAGATTTTGTCATTGTTTATTCACCCTCATGTCGTTCCAAACCTGTACGACTTGCTTTATTCTGTGGAACACAAAAGAAAATATTTTGAAAAATGTGGAAAACCCGCATTGACTGCCTGATATATCGGTCTATCACTAACTGGTACAGCGTTAAAAAAAAATTGGCGTACAACATCGCCAACTTGAAGACAAAGCAGGAGTGGACGTCCTCATTGTTTTGCTTCCTTGTTTCCTTTTATTGTGTTTTTGTCGCTTAAGTGTGTGCTCAAGGAAAAATCAACCTCACCTAAGCTTTAGTCAGAATGCTGTGTAATAGACTATGGTGTATAATAATATTAAAAAAAACAAAATAAAAACAATGTGTAAATGGTCTTTCTGTCCAATTAACATGAGGATATTTTGATGAAAAAATATTGACTAGTACATTGTTACCAGCACTGAAGTTTTTTTTGATGGTAATTAATAGTCATTGTTAATGTTACCTGTTTTAATGGCCAATTTGTGTTTTGATATCTTTGCGACTGTTTATCAATGGTGGTTTTATGATTTCGTAATCCTGACCATTTGGATACTCTATAGAACAGCAAGATGCTCTCCTACACTTTAAACAAGGAAAATGCAGCTATAAGATTCATGCACCTCTTGCATTACAAGGGGTAAACATTTAATAAACGTCAATGCAAGCTTTGCTTGTTTTACTTCATTGTGATGTCTCATTTGAACTCTTTTGTCCATCGACGCGGTTTCCTGTTGGGGTGGCAATTCTTGAAATTGATGTTAAACTATTTAACATGTAAACGGATCATAATTCTTGATGTTGCGTTTTCTCAGGTACATGTATGAGGTTGCATTGCAAAAGGCAACTCTAATCCTTTCGCATGTTATAAATAGAATAAAGAATATGTCTAAACATGTAAATTCATATAGGCTTTGTCTAGTGTCTCAGGAGCGTCAGTTCTGGCTTTTTGTTCATAGTTTTGCTTATTGAAAGGGAATGTTGAAAATATTGTCTGTCTTCCTAGATGACCGATATAAATGAGAATGAGATTGCTTTACTGTGCATTATTTACCTGTGATAGAAATTTCCACTGAACGGCATATACTATTTTGTAGTCACCAACTCAAAGTTTGTCTGTTGTAATTTGCCCCCTTTAAGTTATTATTTGGAATACATGCATTCCTATTTTCAATTAATCACATTCTTATGCTTTTTCATGGTTCAGCAGAAATATCACAGGATAATTGTGCAACAACAGCAAACTCCTAAGAGTTGTCATATTTGTGACACTGTTTGGTGCTTTATAAGTATGACAGCCTAATTCAGTTGACAAGTTTTTAAATCTCAGCTTTTTGTTAACAAAGGTAATAAAGTGTTTCTAATGAAAGCTCAGTTTGATCCGTTAATTTTTTTTTTGTACTGCCTTAACAGTATAATACACAAAGATTAATGTCCAGCTGGGAAATGTAATAACACAACCATTTAGAAATAAAACAATTGCAACCCAATTTAAAAATAATCGGAGGCAATGCAGGTGACCTTTTGTGAAGGTCACTATACTGTGACCAATATTCCCTGGGGCCTGCTGGTAAATCACGATAACACTTGCTGAATGAAATTTGAAAAGAATGTAATGTTTTTGATATACAATGAAGATCATTCCCTTGCAGCAACATCAAAAAAAGAAAACACTTTAAGCTCTTCTGTGTGCTTGCCAAGCAGACCTAAAATAGACTAATCTTTTTGAGAAATACTTATCTTATAAGAGAGCACTTGCAGTTTGATGTACCAATATATACTTGCCTTAATCAACAACTTTTAAAGTATAAAAGTGTTTACGTTTTTGTAGAAATGCATCACATTATACTACAAATCATAAAACTAGAGTAAGCATTCAAGAAATACCCCTTTCACCAGGAATCCCACATATGGCAAACAATCTAGCATTTTGTCCTCTGTGATTTATTCCTGTTCTTTTGGCTAAAAGATACCTGCCTTATCTTTTGGGACTGGTCAAACATCTAGCACCCCAGCGCTAGAAGGACCTTGAAAGTCTGGAAAACAAGTGCAGCTGTAGGTCTTCCAGAGATCAGGGCTAGGACTAATGAAAGGATTATTGTTGCTGTTCCTTTGACAGTCAGCAATTCACCAAAGTCAACCTTTAGCACTTTTAGTTTCAGGGCTTTTTGCCTTTGTCATAAAAGATACTGTAGATAGGGAAATGGTGCAGGCGTATTTCAACCTAGGTCCCCTTGAGCACTACGGCTCTTATGTGTTGTAATCACACTTGCATATTTATATTAGTGATCGGTAAATATCATGCCCAGCAAGGCACATAAACTCGGGTTGCTAGCAATAAGAAAACTACAAGCTGCAGGTGTCATGGCGCCGTCTTGTCTAAATGGTAACCCATGTTTTGTAGAAAATCTTGCAGCTTTGAAAAGCCATTGAGATTCTCTTAAAATAGTTTTTCAGTACAAGGTTTGCCATATAGACACAACAGGGCCCCTGTTCATTGTTTTTTGATCAACTCCTTGCAGGGTTTGAACCTACACCCTTTCAGTTACTGACCCAGATATGCCCTTTTACCATGCAATGCTTAATGAAGTCGAGAGCAAAATATAGTAATTTACAATGGGGATAACAAAAATGTACCCCAAGAGATGAGGGCACTCTCAGAAGTCTAACTGCATCCCATGGGAATGAAATGAAGAAATTGTGTACACGTTTAAAAATAGAACTTTGTTGCAATTTGCCAGCAAGGAGGATCAAACTATTATCCGCTACTACAGCAGTGTGTCTGGGGTCTACAAAGTAATCCATTGTCCGTAAGTGTTCCTCCTCACCTTATCAAAGCTCAAAGGCATGTGATGTTCATTCACTATCTCTCGAAATTCACACATCCACCACATGCCTCGAATACCCACTGTTACTCCAAGGACGAGCTTTCTTGGCAGGCTGGCTCCACTCAGGAGCACAGGAGGGGGTGTATATAAAACACATCCCCGCTGTTGACCCACCCTCAAACAAGTGCTGGATTTCTCTGCGATTGAATCAGAGAAGATGCTCTTCCACGCAAGATTTTGGCTGATGCAGTTGCTGACTGTGGCGACTGGGTCATATGGTGCCAGCGTAGGACACAAAGAGCAGGATAACAGCCCGAGGGTCACCCAACTATCCGGTCAGTCTCTTCCATTTGTCCCGAATCTGTGTCTTGAGGTACGTTGATGCATTAAAAGGTTAGTTCACACCAAAATGAAAATTCTCATTAATTATTCACCCTCATGTCGTTCCAAACCTGTAAGACCTTTGTTCATCTTCTGAACATAAATTAATATATTTTTGATGAAATCCGAGAGCTTTCTGACCCTTCATAGACAGCAACACAACAGACACGTTCAAGGCCCAGAAAGCCTTAAAATAGTCCATGTGACATCAGTGGTTCAATCGTAATTTTATGAAGCTATGAGAATACTTTGTGCGCAAAGAAAACAAAAACAATGACTTTAATCAATAAATCTTCTCTTCTGTGTCCGACTTCGACACGAGTTCACGATAGTACCACGATGCATGCATGTGATGCTGCTGATGCAGGAGCTGGTGTTCTCACGTAGGGCTGCACGATAAATCGAAATGGAATCGAGATCGCGATTCGACAGAAGCTGCGATTGTCATGCGTATCTTTCAGTGAAGCACGGTTCTGTGATCAGCAGTAAATCTCCATCCAAAGCAAAATGCGCATGACAATCGCATTCGATTAATCATGCAGCCCTATTCTCACGTAGAACCCGGATGCGCTGCACATTGTTTGCAAGCAGATGAATGCGCATGCACGCATCCTGGTACTGTTGTGAATGTGCATTGAAGTCTGACACAAAAGAGAAGAAATTGTTGAATAAAGTCGTTATTTTTGCTGTAGTTTCATAAAATTAAGGTTGAACCACTGATGTCACATGGACTATTTTAACGATGTCTTTACTACCTTTCTGGGCATTGAACATGGTAGTTACATTGCTGTCTACGGAGGGTCAGAAAACACTTAAGATTTTATCAAAAATATCTTAATTTGTGTTCCGAAAATGAACGAAGGTCTTACGGGTTTGGATCAACATAAGGGTGAGTAATTAATGACAGAATTTTAAATTTTAGGTGAACTATCCCTTTAATTGAACTTAATGCATTTTTACATCTCACAAACCAATTAACATGCTAAAGCAATAGCTTTTAACTTGCAGTGTGATTGCAGTGTGCAAGTTTGTTTTCTTGATTATACTTTTTGAAAATAGTTCCCTGAAGTGGTTGCAGGGGTGTAGGAACCATTTGAAAAATTTTGGGAACAGGTTAAGGCAGGGGTGTCCAATACTGGTCTTGGACGGCCACTTTCCTGCAGAGATTAGATCCAACACATTTGACTGGAAGTCCTTGATTAGCTGGTTCAGGTGTGTTTAACTAGGGCTAGAGCTAAACTCTGCAGGGAAGGTGGCCCTTCAAGTGGAGGAGTAACTCATCTGCAAGATTTGAATTGGGTGTGACCAATGAGGAAGACATCCAAAATGTGCAGTGATGAGGGGTCCCTAGGACAGGGTTGAGAACCACTGCTTTAGGTGACGTGTTCTGCCCTTGAATGGTTATCTGACTGACCAACAGGATGGAATGGAAATGAGCAGGAAGTTGCAGATATGGTACGCGTACCCCACAGTGCCAGTGAACAGCCGATTGGTCCATCTGCCCATTCAACACATTCCACTGAAGACGTGCCATGTGATGAAGAGCAACTAGCTCACAGTCGTGCCATGGATGACTTCCTGTCAGCCCTGAACAGGGAGAGTGAACTGGGGAGGATGGATTACCAGCAGTTCGGAATATGTTCATCTGGAACTTCAGGTTTGCAGATTTCACATCTAGTACAGAGTTTGGACCAAAAACGAAGTGGCCTCAAGGGTCTACATGCCACAAAAGGTAAATCCATTTTTCTTGGATTCGTAATTTGATTTCCAGCTAAAACCCTGGTTTAAGTTGGATGTTCATTCTTGTCGACCAGTTAACACCATTAAATGAGATGTGGTTATTTTTTTAGTAGATATTTGGGATGCTGAGAAGGAAGGAGAGATGACTTTAACCCTCACATTCCCAAGGCATGCTCAGCCGACCAGCCCAGCCTCTGTGACGCTCCTGTTCAGTGTCGATTCCGTTAAAGGAGATGGTTTGAGAGTGAAATTCAACAGTCATTCCATCCATCCACATACACAGGTTAACCTCATGATAATGATTTCATATTTTTGACTGTTATGGTAGAGAAAGAACATGAAATGATGGGGTGAAAATGGGGCAACAGGAATGTGAAATGTCATATTGCTGGCATATCAAAGCAGGCGTGTAGCAACCACCTACATTGCATAGTCTTTCTTCCTCAACTGGGTAAACATTATCTTCCCTAATTAATATTCATTCCTATGCTATTTGCCTTTCAGATGGTTTGCATTTCTGAAACTACACGTTTCCTGGTCCTTAAAGCAGGACAAAGTCATGCCCACATTCACCTTAAGCTAAGTGTAACAATTGAGACATGGAAAGATGAAAACCGTGAGACCCTTTTCCCTTCAAAAACAGACTTCTCTTAAGAAGCCTTTCACACTGTAAATTTTAACTCTTTCTGTTACATCTCAGAACCGAAACCCAGTGTGTCTGAGCTTCGGGACGTGTTGATGAGAAAGGTAGATGGCAGCAATATGTCAATGAAGCCGATCTTAATTTTCCTCTCTGACCGTGATGAGCAAGGGACACCGCACTTAAAATATCACAGGTAAATTATTCACTTGCTAAAGGTTTAAACTGCTCAATTTAATCCTGCATTATGTGATTAGATAATAACCAAGCTATTAAGCCATGACCAATTTAAATCTGTACAATAAAAATGAAAATGGGATAGCATACTGCAATACAACTCATAAGTATGTGAATAGAATACGCAACCTACTACATACATAAGCAAATTGTATGGAGTTCTATATCCCACAATGCTGATACATATGCTACACAGTATTCCTTAAGCTAATATTCCATTCAGAACATTGCCAATGTTTTTCTTTTTCTTCAGAAATCCACTGGATGAGAAACTCCCATCCAGGACTTATCTTTTCCTCTGCGAGCTGCACAAGTTCTTGAGTGACGTCCTTCCTCAGAAAGAGGGACCGACATCTCAGGAAGGCGCAAACACGGTCTCTTTGGATGCACTGCATTCCCTTCCACCTCTCAGCCTTGGAGTGTCATCCACAGAGTCCCTGCTATCAGGACTGGTGAATTCCTCCACGCCGACTGTATTTGTCTTCCCTGAGAGGCAGCAAGGCCTGCAGATTCACAGAGTGGAGGTGACACTAGATTCTTCTCTGCTGTCTGTGCTCAGAATGAGACTGGATGAAGCCATGGCTCAGGTGAAACAGCAGGAGGCGGGGCAAAATGTGATTGACAGGCTTCAGAAACTGAGTAAACTAAGTGCCCTTTCTCCAGAAGGAGAGGACGATGAAGCAGGTGAGCATTAAATATATTTCCATATATACTACCTGTCAAAAGATTTTTAAGCACCAATATTCAAAATAAAAGCCAGCTCTATATGTTCCCATTGAATTGCATCTAAAATACTATAATTCATTTAAACTATGATTCATTTATAGTCGCTAAGGAACATAAACGGGCCCAGTACCGCTCCGTTTTGCTGCTGAAGGCCCTGCAGGTGGTACTCAGTACCTGGGAGATGGAAAGAGCTCAGAGAGCAGCCAGAGCGGATGAAGATGGCCCATCAGTGCCCAGTCAGTGTCGGCTTCAGAGCTTGTCCGTGTCCTTGAGGAAATTCTTTCTTGAGCCCTCTAAAGTCAACATCAACAACTGTGAGGGAGAGTGTGGATTCCCCCTGACCAGTGGCAACAACCACGCCATCCTCCTGAACAGCCATATTCAGAGCGGCCAGCCCGTCAATCGCTCTCTCTGCTGCGTACCGGTGGAATTTGATGACTTGTGTGTGATCGAGCTGGAGAGCGAGGGCACCAACATCTCCTTCAAGACCAATGTGGTAGCGACCAAGTGTGAATGTCGCTGACGCCCTCCTTTTGCTCTTTGAAATGCGCTTATGCATGCGTATACAGCAACATATGAATAAAATCTCATACATCTGCATTTATTTTTGCTTGTAAATACACAAAGCTCTAGGTTTTCTCAAACTGACCTGGTACATTATGCAAACATGCAACATAAAATGTCATTTGAAGTGTAAATTAGGTAATTAGGGGGATATTTTGCATATTCAATGATATAAACAATATTTTAGACCACTTTAGCTGTATGAAATAATTAGCTGTCCTGTTAACATAGATTTGCATCAGTGCTGAGTGCATTAAAATATTTGGCTGTGTTAGAATAAAGTAAATATTCAAAAAGCATGTTTTCTCTGTCTATTCACTATGATTCCTGCAAAATTCTCTCAAAATGTTACAGGTGGTTTTAGGTTTATATGAAACATTTCAGATGAAGATTTTTATGTAAGTATATACTGTATATATATATATATATATGCTACCAGTCAAGAGTTTGGAATAATTAAGATTTTTAAAACGTTTTTGAAGTCTTATGATCCTTCAGAATTCATTCCAATATGCTGATTTGGTGCTCAATTGTTATTAATGGTTCTCATTATTGAAAATGCGGAAAAGAGTTTTGGCTGCTTAATATTTTTGTAGAAACAGTGATACATTTTATTCAGGATTCTTTGATAAATATCAAAGTCAATGAACAGTATTTATTTGACAAAAATCTTTAGTAACATTATAAATTCCTTTACTATCAATTGTGATTGATTTAATGTTTCCTTGCTGAATAATAGCAATAATTTATTTTAAATCTTACTTTTTACATTTAAATGGTAGTATATCACAGTTTCCACAAAAATACTGAACAGCTCAACTGTTTTCAACACGGACAATAATAAGAAATGTTTCTTGAGCAGCAAATTAGCATATTAGAATGATTTCTGAAAGATCATGTGATACTGAAGACTGAAAGTTCAGCTGCAATCACAGGAATAAAGTACATTTTAAAACATTAAAATAAAAAAAGCAAATATGTAAAATTGTAAAAAATATTTCAGAATATTACTGATTTTACTGTCATTTTTGACTGGTAGTGTATACTTATATATAATATTTATTTATTTCATCTTCATAACTGTTTTAGGAATATTCCCTCCCAGACTATTCCTTCTCCTTGAGAAATCCTTTAGCCATTTCTTTGTTACGGATCTTCCGTGGTCCAACCTTCTCTCCATCCTGCTTAGGCCTTGCTGCTCTTTTCTTTTTAAACTCTTCCAGTTTATCCTCAGATCCCCAGTTCCAAAATGCAAAGGTGTCCCACCATGAATCAGACTACAGCAAAGACAGACAATTCAGAAACAATGAACTAGCTAAAAACTGTTCAAGCAGATTCAAATGAGCCTTACCTCTGCTTCACCAGCCTGAAGCTCTGATCCAGGTTCTTCTTCTGTTGCTTCAAAGTATGGCTCTATTGTCTCTGTTACACAGTTGTGGCAATTTTGATCAATTTAATGTGTCCTTGCTAAATAAATGTATTAAATGACCCAAGACGTCTGGGCCCTTATTCGCAAAAAATCTTAAGGCTAAAAGTATAGCTTATAACTCGCCGATTTAGGAGAAAATCTTAAAAATAATGGACGTGTCAATCCTAAATTTAGGACTCCTAAATTTTTGCTCTAAGAGTATTTCACAAAGCGTTTTAGCGCTAAAACTAGCTCCTAAATCTGTGAAAAGTTAGGAGTGGTGAAGAGGACTTCTAAGTCACTAAGACCGAACCACAAACTATTCCTAAAATGGCTGTTGCCGGCAATCTGCTTCTGAACGTAAACATTTTAGAAACATTTGATAATGACCTTTTAAAAAGGTATCGCCTTTGGTTTTGGAGGTTATCCGAACTCCAAATTTTCCTTTGATTATATCCTTGTTTCCATTAACCAGTTGGGCAAGAAGTAACAGCTGTTCTTGCGTCCAGTTTGTTTTTTGTTTTTTACGTTTGCATGCATTACTATCAGCCATGATTATTCTACTCTGTTAATTAAAAGGCTGTTTATATGCATATCTGCTAATTGTTTTTGAGAATCTCATATGTAAGAGGCTGACAATTAGCTGAACATATACTTGTTTAATTAGTGACATTTAGCTTGCATCTTAAAATCTTTATTTGAATGTGGCAATTAATTGTATTTTTATTTTTAAACCTTTATTTATTTGTGCTCTACAATATTTCCATTAATACATTTCTGACAGAGACTATCAGCCAATCACTGTGTGCATAGTTAATAAGCATGCTGACATCATCCATAACCCCGCCCTTACTCTTAGCTTAAGACTTCTCTCTATTCCCAAGTCAAATTTTGTCTCAGCAGCTTTGTGAATAGGTTTTAAGAGAAAACTCTTAGCTAAAAACTTTTACTGCTATTTAGGAGAACTCTTAGTGGTAAGATAAAATGTTTTGTGAATACGGGCCCTGATCAATAGTGTATTTGGTAAGCAAAGTAAATCCCTACATGGAGATACAAGACACCTCAGGCCCCTACAATGTCAGGGTTTAATTTGCAATAATTGACTGGCTAAGTCTGCATGCACAAATATTTACTGCATAACTCACATTCAAGAATTCACCTTGTACTATCTCAACCGTTGAGCTGACCACCACAATGACCATGGCCACTAATATACAGCGGTTCAGAGTGATGCCCTTCCATGGATTTTCCACCTTAGTCAAGGATTCCACCGGAAATATGCGCCGATACTTCACTGTTGCATGAAGATAGTTGAGTAACTCAGAAATTAAGTGTGATACAGTTAGAAATTAATTGTAATGATGACAAATATACAGTGAATTATGTTAAAATATTTAAGTGTTACATATGTAGATCACGAGTCAGAGATACATACTTGTTCTGATGATCCTTTCTGGAAGTTTCTGTGGAATTGAAGATTAAAACAAAGTAAATATCTTACTTGTAAATATCTTACACTTAAACTTGTATATTAAAGGGCATTTTCAACTGAAATATACCCTTATAACATGTTGTTATTTATTATATGATCTTATTTTATAGATTCACACGAGTCTGTTGCATTTATGTAGGTGTCGCACAGTTCAACAAGTGATGTTCTCGAGGTGGCTAACGTTGAAATGCTAACTTAAACCTATTTAAACTTGTGTCAAAAATTCCTAAAAATATAACAGAAAACATCTACAGTCTTTTTACAGCTGCCAACAGTACAAAATTACGAGAGCTGGCTACTGAGTAATAGGGCTGATAAATGTAATGCATATAATTCTGAGTATAAACAAACAAAAACAACTTCATTAGTGGTAGTTAGTAGTTAAACGAGCATTTCTTACCAGGCAAAGCCGGAGTGGTCAGGCAAAAACTGTGTGCAAGGAGGAGTCTCAAGTTCTTCAGAGCCCTGATGGACAGGAACAGCTGCGACTTTATTATTAAAAATACAAGCACTGGTGATTTTACATGGCCGATTTACAGTCTTGAATTGAATGTTGGTATTAGCCTATTTATGTTTATGTAATTTTTTAGATGTTTTCCAGTTAATATTGTTATTTTTAAGTTAATAATGTAAATACATTAATTATAATGAATCTTAGATATAGTAGTCTACATCTTGCACTGCTTATCATGTTGAATACTGTAACAATGAGAAGTATAATTAATTATTAACAGATTTTGTAACTCTATTAGATATAAATGATAATCCATCCTGTTTTAGTTTTTGCGTGCTGCACAAATAAGCATTCATAAATAAACCAAACGTTAGTCTTATCATTACGAATTTTGTGACTACGATCAATTTTAATTCGATTATTTCCACTCAGGGCTTATTTGTTTGCTGAAGCGCGTGACGTAACGCCGAAGCCACGCCCACTCGTGCTTCGGAGTATAATTACTGCGGGCCTACAGCCGTTAACACTTTCAGTCGGCGCACGGACAGAGAAGAATCGGGCTTTGACGTTGGCCGGATGGTTAAATCCAACCTCCAGACGATCCTGAATAGCCACTGTTTTGTCAGAGAAAAAGAGAGTAATATATGCAAGATGCCAGTGATCGAAATGACCCGTAATAAACCCGAGAGTGAAAGGTAATGTGGGACTTTTATGTAGATTGCTCGCGCGCGGCCTTGTACAGCCTAGCGAGCTATACATTTTATGACGAAATACAACGTGATGTATATTCGATTTAATGTTTCTAGCTTGCGAAATGAGATTTAAATCTATCCATCTGTCAGAGTTCCTTAAATAAAGATATTTCTGAATGAATTATGCTAAATCTCACGCGAGAAAGCCGCTGTCTGTTCAGGTGGGATCGTGTTGTCAATCAGTCGCGGATTAGAATGATTGACAGGCCTGTTGCCAGGTAACAGGTTTTGTCGAGTTCGCTTATCGTTCTAGAAACTTGGAAAAATAATCAATTCAAACTGTCATTATTGCCAACGTCTGTTTAAATGTATTTAGAAGTCTATGTAGTCTCTTTTTGTCTTTTGAGCTAATATGAGATGATTGAAAAACTTCATTATGTAGCATCATAACATGGTGTTATTCATTATATTATATTATTTTATAGTTTTACAAATGCTTAAAGGGTTTATTCAGGTGTTGCACAGCTCAACAAGTGATTGACGTTCGTGTTTGAGAAGTGGCTAACGTTTAATGCTAACTGGATAAAGCCAGAACAGTTGGCTATATTGCTTTTGTGTCACTGTTAAGATTGTGTTATTAATGATACCTTGAGTATGAATAATTAACCGTCATATAAATGAGTAATTCCCCTCTAAATGGCTGTTAAAACCGGTATGAAGTTAATGTGAAGAATTGTAATGCGCTAATGGCTAAACGTCGCCTCGCCCATCCCCCCATTGTTTGTTCCTCAAGCGTGCGTCAGTGCTGTACTGTATGGAGTACCATGATTGTAGTGTTGTCACGGTACCAAAATTCCAGTATTCGGTACCGATACCAGTGAAAATCCACGGTTCTCGGTACCAATTTCGATACCAAAGCAAAACACAAAAACATTTGTGTTGGTTTTAATTAATTTAATTAATTTCTTAAACCATTTTGTCTGTATCGAAGAATGAAAAGTTAACTACTCAAATCCAAACGTTCTCAAAATATAATCTGAGAGAAGTCTGTTTTGGTGCTGTTTATTTTGATGCATTCTCCTCAAAGAATAGCAGGTTTAAAAGGGAAATTTCGGTTAGTACATGTGTTTTTTTAAATGTAGTCATGTCTCAACTTGTATGTGGGTTGTTTGTAACACCAGTTACCTCTTGTCTCCTTTTTGGAAGGAAGTTGCCCACCAGATTATTCATGTATGTCTTTCATGCAGTGATGCATCACAAATCCAGGTTTAAAAATATGGGCGGATGTTTTAGCTTCCTTTATTTTGCCTACGCTTTCATCTGAGGCTTTCTGGTCTTGCAGTAACCCCTTGTACTCATTGGGTTTGAATGATGTCGGTGTTTATTCACCTGCTGCAGGGTGTTGTGTAACTACCGTTCATCTCCTCCCACGTGACCCCAGCCTCTGTAACAGGCTCAGGTGTCCCTTGTGAATAGTCAAAGTAGTCTGACTTCAGGGATTAGGCTGTTTTCAGTGGGACAAACAAAGGTTCTTGTCGCTGCCCTCACATTGCTGTGCTGAAGTGAAATGAGGTTGCGCTGGTTTGCAAGATACATTCGGATGCATTCATTCGTTTTTGTTCAGGTTAAAGATTTGCATATGCACAATTTGGCCTGTGCTGTATTATTTTACAAAGGTCTCAATATGTTGCTGTTTTTATTCTTTCTTTACAAGTATGGTCAGCAGATGCACCATTTATAATTCAAACTGTCATGATCTTGCTTAGACCAGGATATTTTCTTTAACTTTTTTTTAATGCCAAGGACATGCGTGTGTATGTATTTTCTTGTAGAATTATTAGTTTAAAGCTTATTTAGCTTTTATTCAAGTTGAATTTATTCCTACCCACTAATAGAGAGATATGTGTGTATATGTATGTATGTATGTATGTATGTATGTATGTATGTATGTATGTATATATATATATATATAT